TGGCGCATTGGTTAGTCCAAAGGGCATCACTATAAACTCTTAAGGCCCGTACCTAGTCCGGAAGGTTGTCTTATACTGATCATCAGGGTGTACCTCTATCTGATGATATCCGAACTTTAAGTCTATCTTAGAGAAATACTTAGCCCCCTGCACTCGATCTAAGAGATCGTCGATCCTAGGCAGTGGCTCAACATTCTTTACTGTAATAGCGTTCAGACCCCTATAGTCTATGCACATTCTCAACTCTCCCTCTTTCTTAGGAACAAAGAGAACAGGCGCTCCGAAAGGATACGAACTGGGCCTAATCCAACCCTTCTCGAGGAGCTCGTCTAATTGCTTGCGAAGCTCCTCTAACTCCCGCGGGGACATCCTATACACAACACCCTTAGGAGTTCCACTGCCAGGCTCTATCTCGATACAGTGCTGGATGGGCCGTGACACCGTGCATGTCGGCGGCTCAGTCAAATCCTTAAACTCCTCCAGCAGCTTGGCAATCGCAGGGTCCATCGGCTTCTCTTCCGTAGGCTCAGTGACGGGCCTAACATAGGCAACAAAGACCTGTTCCTCTAATTTCTCCTTCTTCACCAATCTGGCGAACGCARGGGCACWAAGGCAGCAATGTRCCAAGGAATTYTCTACTCCTGACACATRAAACAGGCGGGCAGTCTTAGCCTCGCCTGCAGAACTAGGGAGTCTACACTCGTGCTCCTTCAGATGGAGCGTTGCCCCGGCTGCCTCTCCCTAATCCATTCCCAGTACTATATCAAACGGGAGGCTGTCCTCTACGAGGAGAGTCAGGGAGTGGAGGACCTTCTCCACCTTCCCATCTTTCTCTAGGCGGAAATACGCTTGAACTCCCTCTACGTAATCCTCTACAACCATGGTACGATTGTCCGCGAGGATACTAACTATGGGGTCTGTCAGTTTCTGGACCTKAAGTCCCAGCCTCAACTTCTGCAGCGCTTGCTTACTAATATAGCTGCGGGTGGCCCCTGAGTCTACTAGGGCCCCTACTCTACTTCTAAAAATCTCAGGATCTAATAAAATTAGCTGCCCTTTATTCTCCTTCTTCATCTTGGCCCAAGCGGGCCTCCTCTCCTTCAACTCTTCCGCCACGCCTGTGAGGGAGGTGTCTAGCCAAACTCTAACACAAGCAGTCTCAGGACAGCTGTCTAGACACCGGCCTGCAACCTCTGCCGTAGGCACATGTGGTGTGGGAGTCTCCAGCCTGCTAGCGCTATTTTCCCCACATGGCCTAGTGGTAGGGGCAGTTGCTACCCCGGGTGCCATCCTCCTACTCTATAGGGAGACCTGTTCCTAGGACGGTTTTGCAGGGGACCTTGCCCCCCCTACCTCCTGCTTGGCGGTTCCCTCCTTTGCCGCCAACCCCCTGATCGCCCTGGAACCGGCTCCCTGAGGTCCGGCCCCCTTGGCCTTGGCCTCGTCCTCCTTGCGGCCTCCCTCCAACCGCGACAGCAGCGTAAGTCCTCCCCTGGCCCACACTACTGTCCTCCTCCTCGAACCCCCACTCAATCTGGTCGTAGGGGATCTCGTCCACACTACCCTCATCTAAAGTGAGCACAAGGCTATCCTTGGTCTTGACTTGCCCTGAGATAGTGCGGCCCTTCCACTTTTTGCCCTTGTTTAAATCTTTGTGCCAGAAGGTGGAAATCGACGCAGACTTCGCCTCGAACGCGACCACTTCTCTTCTAAGTATATCATAAGTCATAGCAGGGTCCTCGCTCTTGTCAAAGAAGTGACCACGCAGCGCTTCGGGCATAGCCTAGTAGAAAAGGTTGACCAACTAGGTCTTTGTGACCTTGTGGTCAGGGACAGCCACCAACTCATCCATTGTGCCCTTGAGTGCCCTTGCACTCCTCCATTGGCGCGAGTGTATTGTCTGAAGCCTATCTGAGGCTTTGACACTACGAGCAACATCAGCGAATCGCTCGCGCAACAGTTTCAAGAATTCAATGAGGGACGTAAACGAGGAGTACGCAACTGGATCGTCACTACAGTTGGCAGCACGAACAAGGGATCTCGCAAAACTGGCGGCCTCGTCTCTAAGTGCATGGATCGCAATTAAGACCTACTGATCCGGGGAGACCTGTTGCAAATGCACATAGGTCTTAACATTGGCCTCCCAATTGTCAAAGTTCTCTTCCCTTTTCCCACTCTAGGAATCAGGGAATTTGACTTTGACTGGCTCCCTGCGAGGACGGGCCTCCTCCTCCTTGGGAGCGGCCACCTTGACGCCTTTGATGGCGCGGACACAAAAACGCTCAGTCTTCTCGAGACGATGACTCACCTCGGATCCCACAGCGCCTACTAGTTCGCGAGCAAAATCCCGTAATCCCGTTCGCATCGAACGCACGGATATCTCCTGGCTGCGACTAAACTCATAGTGCTTTTCTTGCACTTTAGCTAACCGGTCAACGCTCTGGACGATGATCTCCACTTTGCGTTGGAGATCTACTTGCGGAGTCAATTGTGCTGTTAAGGCAGTCCTCACCTCCGCTAGTTCTTGCATTGCTACATTCGCCGCCTCCACTCTTCTCTTCTTCTCCCTCATCACTGCGAGCTTCCACGCCATCCTCTGTTCATCCTCCATCGCCCGCCGCGTCAGAACATCTTCTTCTGCTTCCCATTTCTTCATGGCGGCTTCTTGCTCATCCTTGGGGATGTACATAGCGACCTCATCCTCCTCACCCAAGGATAAGTTGGCGACCCACTCCGAAATCTTCTTCTCCATCTCATCACTGCTGCTGCCACTGTGCTACCCACTCTTTTGCAGTGGCGGTCCTTCCTCTTCTTCATCCACCTCCTTCAGCTTCTCTTCTTCTTCCTTTTTCAACCTCTCTTTCTCCCTGCCCATCTCTTCTTCCATCTTCTTTAGTTTGGCCGCCTGTTCCTCTTTCAAGGCCTTCTTCTTGGCCTCCTTCTTCTCCTTCCTCTCCTGCAGGATGGCGGCCATCTTCTCCTCCTCCTCCTTCGTGTATGGTTCGGTGGTGGTACCACCTCGAGTGGGCCCTACTCTACACGCAAAGGTATGCCAAAATCCCAGAGGAAAGAGGAGACGCCAGAGGGTCCCCCAGAGGGAGAACCCAACCAGCAACCCATACATCGGGTAGTCGTCCATCGTGGTGTTGGTGCATGACAAGGGTCCCACTCCTCACCACGTAGCCCTACCCGGACACACTAACCTACTGATCGACTTCCTAAGGACCACAGGATAAGACCCTGTCAACTATGGTCACTAACCCAAGACTTATTCTAAGGCTGTCACTACTGAACCCAAAGCTGATCTGGAGGCATTTAAGGAAATCCCCCGTAACTCCTCAAGAATTCTTTAGCGTCGCAGACAGGACGACGTGATCAGCTTGGTTCTTCCTGGCGATTTCAGCCCACAACTCAGCCGTTCCAGCCTACTGTGCCACACCGAGCAGCCCGCCGGTCTGTACCGGTCCTTGGAGGGGTTCGTATCCCTCGGGACAGTCGAGTYGTYAGACACAGATCATCAGCTGTAATAGGTCCGGTAGGGGAGTGGCTCAACCAGGCCTCAACACTTAAAGACGGCCCTCGTTTCAGCCTACAGCCCGGAGTTCAGACCCTCTATACTGAACTCAGTAGACCTGCCGGACAGTACCGGTCATTGGGCTAGACGAGTTGTTTAACGAGCGCTCGCCGCTCATGCCCAGGTCTCCAAGTGCCAGTGTAGAGCTTTGGTCCTACCAAGCCCGTGTAGGTTTGGCAGCAAGGCCCTATCCTTCATCCACAGAGTCCTAGCACCTAAGACAGAAGAGACTCGATGCAGAAATAGTAGACAGACAACTCAGCAAGTACCGTGCGGTAAGTGCACATCCACAGGGTAAGGGAATAGGCTTAGGTGTTAACGAGATATCACCAACTCCAGCTTGGTCAAAATCTTGGTCAGCAGCCCCGGTCAACGCCGAGTCAACGCGGGCAACCCTTCACCTTGGCTATGGCTGCCGCCACCTTCACCTTCGTCACCCTCGCCGTCTACTTCCCCGTCCTTCACTTTCTTTCCCTTCACTTCCGCTGTATTATTTTTTTTTTTTTTTTTTTTTTTGCTCGCCCCCGGCTATGTCTGCCTTCTTCTCCAACCTCCTCCTCCCACACTTCTTCTTCTCTTTCCTTAGTCCCTCCTTCTCTGTCCTCCCTTTCTCTCTCCTCCGGCACTCTGTGTTACAGCTCCGCGGCTATGGCCGCTATCTTCCTTCTCCACCGGACTCCGCAATCTCGCCTTACAGGTAAGTGACAACCAATCTTGGATCGCTCAT